TTATACCTCACAATTACCTCGTTGAAACAGTTCTGTGCTTGGTTAGCATTTCCAACAACACCACCCTCTCTGCACATGCATGCACACATCCATGTGTACACACACATATGCACTCACCAGAAGAGCCATCCCTTCTGTCTGTCCACTGTTCTGTCCTGAGGCCCCAGAGCCCAGCACTTAGCTCCCAAAAAGAAATAAAATAAATCAATAAGCATAAAACTGTCAACCTGCTCTTCACATTTCTTCTGATGGCGACACCTCTGCTTATGGGGTATGGATGGGGTACTGTTTTCTGGAGCCAACACAGGACACTTAAAATCAAGATTTCTGGGTTCAGGGAGCATCCTGGTTAGAATTTGAGAAGATGCTCCAGCAGCCAGGAGCCCTAGCACCATGGACAGGGCCCAGCTCCCACCAGGTGAGGAGAGATGGAGAGGGCACAGGGCAGGGAGGACTCCACCGATCCCATGACCCCATGCAGCCAGGCCACTTTGGAGCATGGCAGGCAGGAACCACCTTGATCTGGAATGGCTGCTCACACCGTGAGCTCACCTCCAAGGAGGATGTCAAAGGAGAATGACAGGCAAATCTGTCTAAAGAAGATGCTGAAGTCTCAGGATACAAATGTCCTAACCAAACACCGCTGTTTAAATGTAGCAGTGGCTTAAAGGAATTATATGTCACAAGCCAGAGTGGCTCACTGTTAGGAAACCTAGTAATGAAATTCATTGTAACAGCTATTCATTAAGTTGGGAAAATATCTGGTTATATCAACATATCATGAAAGGGCATTTCTTTTAAATTCATTAGCCATTCCTAATTTTAAAAATCTAATAGAAATATGAGTAAACAGAGTCTAAGCTGAATAAGGACAGATGCTCAAATCCAACAATAAATTCTGTTCATGGTATATGTGAAGGTGTTCTGTGTACAGATGCCCTGGGCCACTGTCCTTCACCCAGGCTCTGCAGAGGTTCCAGCTAGCACAGTCCACAAACCCTGACCAAGCAGCAGTAATATCAGAGAAGAGACCAGATTATCTTCATCTATCGAGGACACATTGTATACTGTGAAAATCTAAGAGATACTGCTAGTAATGGAATTTAGAAATATATTACTCAAAAATAAGTAGGCTTCCTTTCTTCTGGGTGCAGTTTTATTTGTAGCTGCCTCAAGTCTTTCAAACGCCCCCTGCCCACTTTGGGTAGTTCCTGTGTATCCCACTTCAGCCTTACAGGCTCCAGCTCAGGGGTGCAGCAGTATGACTTTGGACCAGGTTTTACGACTTTGGAACAGGTGACCTGTGTCTGCCAGCCCATAGGCAGGAACCATGCAGCCAGGCCAGCTCAGCACCTGCCCTGGGCCTCCAGCCCTCCCAGTAAAATGTCCTCTTGGGCCCTCTGCATAACCCAATCAGAAAGACTCTGGGGTCCACACTAGAAAGGACAGTGTACACAAAATCCCCATTGGGCTGGAATGTTCCTCTTTTTTCTAGGCTCATCTGTTCACCAAGGCAGCAGAAACTTGACATCTTAGTACACCTTTCCCATCTTCTCTCCCAAGGAAGCTCCAACTGGTGGCTGGGGACAGAGTGACAATCGTCTACTCAAATATTTGTTTGAACAGTCTTTGTCCCTATGTCCCCCTCAACCAACATACACAGCCTGCTGCCAAGATAGTCTTCACCTCATCTATGAGTCAAGCCCTGTCCCTTGGTATTGGGCCCCAGCCCAATTTTCAGAACATGAGGTCACCTGTACCCCCCACCAATGTCACCTCCCTGAGACGACAGCCTTTGAATGGAAGCCAGAGGCCTCTCTGGACCCAGTTTACTGGCATCCAGCTCCTCCCTTCCCTTCCCATCTGCTCAGGTTGTTCCTCCTAGCTTAAGAGAAATCTCTCCCCCCTCTTTATTTTGAAATAGCTGAGAGACCCCTCCTCATCCCCTCCCTGTCTCCATCTTTGGGGGGTATTGGCTTTTGGACACACAAAGGCCAGAGACCCAAGGTTGTCTGCCCTGTCAGTTGGTCCCTTAAGACAACAAGCAGCCCTTATCCATCTCCTTGCATAGGGTAGGGCATTTGTGAAATGAGTGTCACCATGAAGGTCAAAAACATCCTCCTCCCTCATCAAAAAAAGAGCCAGCTAAATTGAAAGGGAGAAATTCCATTTATAATACCACAAAAACTATAAATTACCCAGCAATAAATATACCACTGAAGATACCCAGCCCATGTGGAGACCTCACAGCTGCACCAAGGGACCCACGGATCTCTGAGTGGGGACACATCCCTACTTCAGACCCAGGGAATGAGAGCCCCACTGGATGCCACTTGGACGTGTGCAGCACATGGACGTGTGCAGCACATGAGGGAGCAGCAGCTCCCAATGATGTCTGGGAAGGGCACCTGTTTTACTCTCTGTGAGGTGCTATGAAGCCACCAAAATCAGAACCGCAGCATAGTGACCCGTAACTTCTGACCAGGGAATCCCCATGGTAGCAGACCAGAGCGCCCTGTTATAGGTGGGAGTGCATTCTGTCATAAAGGGGGCATATTGGATCCATGAGGAAGACAGGTTAACACATGACACAGAAAATTAGCTACATGGGAGACATTCCTCTACCCAGCCACACCATAAGCAAACACAGCAGGGCTGATGTCTGAACGCAGGAGTCAAATCTGCAAAGATGCTAGACGCACATACAGAGCCTACTGGTATAGGGCAGAGGTGGGTCTCCCAAGGTAAGAAGCCCCAAACCATTCCATAACCATTAGACAGACTCTACTGCAATCAATCTCGGAGGACTGAAGGAAACATTCACCAGACATGCCCTGGGAAGAGCTCTGATACAGAGGGGTCGGTCAACCCAACAGTAAGAACAAGGCAGGACCTGGAGTGTATGACCAGGAGGAATACAGTGGCTCTCAAGCACTGGGGAGAGTGTAAGGAATTGGTAGAGGATCTACTTCCTTGACAGATTCCCTCTCTGGCTCACCTGATCACCTTGGCCCATAGAGGAGGGAGGACAAGGACATCCCTTCAGAAATGCTGATGGCAAAAAAACTGAAAACCACTGTGGCCACCAATAAAGGATGGTTACATAAATTATACAGGGCTCCATCCCAGGGACAAAGAACAAAAGGTCAACCTAGACATGTAGCCTGGATGGCGGCTGCAGTGAGCTGCCTGGCAAAAAGGGCTAAGCGGCAGCTGATGTGGCAGCACTCTGGGCCTGGCCTACCCAGTGAAGAAAGCCCATCTCACAACTATGGGGCCCGGCTGAGCAGACCCTTTCATGACCACTTGTTGAGGGAGAACCTCTCCTAGACATGTGAAGGGTGGCTTGAAAGGGGAGCTGAAATGTGGGGTCTAGCCCTCTGTGCCTGCTGCCCGCACCCCAGAACCTTAGGCTAGGGGCAGGAGGCACTCCCTCGTAATTTTACACAATTCCTCAAAGAGGCAGGGGAAATTTACTCTTTTTTGTTTTTAAATACTTCTCTCAAATGATAAATTGGGCATACAGAGATGTGTGTGGACTCTGGCCCAGAGCTCACCGCTCACCCAGGGTATGGCAGTCTTCCTCCTCCTGCAGCTCCAGGGTTCACAGGGGCTTCCATAGTTCAGGACCTCCCCGCACCAGCTCCCTGTTGCCTCTGAATTACTGAGGATTGAACATAATACCTTTGTACTGAGCTATGTCCCCAGCCCCCTTTGTTTCTATTTTAATTTTGAGATAGGGCCTCTCTAGTCCTTAAGTTCTCCATGCTGGGCTCGAACTTTCAATCCTCCTGCATCAGCCTCCCAAATCCCCTCTGAATTCTTGAGCTCCTCTCCCCTACTCCAGTTGTGGTCCTCAGGTCCCCCAAAACAGCAGGTAGGTGGGGGGGGGGCTCATGGCACAGGAATGGGGTAGAGTCCCAGAGGAAAAGATGTGCCTCCAGAGAAAACCCTTGGGCCATGTCCACAGCAGGGAGCCAGCACCAGCTTCAGGGAGGACTGGAGGCCTTGCCCCACTCTCCCTGCTCACCGCACTCTGATTTCCCTCCTTCACACATGCAGAGCCTCTGGGAGCAATGCCAAAACCAGATCCTACAGGAACCATTTCCCTTTCTGAGGAGTCCAGGACTCAGCAGTGACCATAGGTCTGGACAGCCTTAGGTAGCAGAAGGGCACACTGGACAAAGACCAGAGCCCAGAGAAGTCCTGCTGTGTCTACTGAGTGCCTCATGGTGAGCATGGAACACAGGACAAGCAATCCTGCAGCATCAGTGCAGGAGCTAGGGCTGGAGTTAGGGGCTCATAGCTGCACAGAAGGATCAAGAGGGCGGCCCAGTTTTACTTGGAAGGGTCTCCATTGCTCCCCATTTGTGCCACCCACGCGGGCTGAGCCTCCTCAGATCTAGGCCCAGGGACTGGCCCCATGACCCTCCCAGCCAGGGTGCTGGGCCCAATATCCAGCCAAGGGGTAGTCTGGCCCATGAAGGCTCCACTTCAGGCTATAGCAACCCTGTGGTTCTCGGTGGCTGAAGAGGAATGGGGGCAGGAACAAGAGGCCTGTGGACCAGGCAGAGCTGTCTCGAGTGTCCCTGGGCACACTGAAGCTGAGTGCCCCGGAGTGAGTGTGCACAGGGACACATCAGCATGTGTGGTATGATGGAATGTCTCAGTGCCTGTGTATGCAGATGCCCCTCGATATAAGCATACAACAGTGCACACAAACTAGGTACAGGTGTGTTGTCTGTGGGTATGTGTGCATCTGTGCCCACTGCTGTATTTGTGTGCGCATCTAACATCTGTGTGTGTGTGGTTCCTTTCCCTCCCCCTCAGGCCCACCCTGTGGTCCTGTGCATCCCACCTCTCACCCATGCTCCTCAGCACACACACACACCACCTGCACCCCACAGCCAGGAGTGTGATCTCCAACTGTCTTCTATCTCAGCTCTCCACTCCCCACCAGCACGCCACCCCCCATTCATACCCAGGCTCAGACCCAGGGCCTCAGAACTCAGAAGTGACTTTATTTCTTGATAAGCAGATGCCCTTTGGGCTAGGGTGCTGGGCTGCACCTGGCTCAGCCTCACTTCCCCTCAGGGACCTGGGGGTCCCAGTCCCCTGCCCTCACCCCCGGCCTCCTGCCTGGACACCTTGGAGAAGTCTGGCTGCCTGGGATGCAATGCTGGTGGACAGGCAGTGAGGTCTCACATTTGGGAGGAAATACAGACTCCAATGCAGGGCACCCTGCTCAGGCCTCCACCAAGCCAGGCAGGGGGGGGCACCAACAGGCTCAGGGACAAGCTCCAAAGCCCTACAGCAGGCAGGACTCAGGGCTCAGCCCAGAGCAAGGCAGACCCCAGGCTGAGCAGGAGCCCCCCAGCCAGGGCCCAGGTGCTGCGCCCCACCACTGCAGCCACCCCATTACACAAGTCCTTCTCGCAGCACTCCACGTCCACTTTGAGGATCCCAGAGTTAATGAACCCCATCAGATAGTCTGAGAAAAAGTGCCGCTTGACGAAGTCACAGGAAGGGGCGCACATCTTGTTCACAGAATGATCCTTCCTGGCTGGGGGAGAAAGGGGAATGGAGTTCTACCTGGGCCTGAACGTCCTCCCCAGGCCCCGGGCCCCTGTGAGTCAGCTAAGGACCAAGGTCAGCAGAATGAGGCCCTCAACCCACCAAAGCTGGGGACTGCATGGAAAAGCCACCAAGGAGCCAGGGAAGGACAAGCTGGGCCGTGTCCTGCCCCTAGACCTGTGCTCCTGTGGCAGGCCTGGGGTCCCAGGGAACACCTCTGACCTCCCCCCAGAGTCTGTCTCTTAGCAACCCCCCACCCACCCAGGCTCCAACTTACTGCTGCTGGGGTCAGTGATCTGGACGCTGGCACATACAGTGTCTGAGGGCTGGCACTGCTTCGGGGTACAGTGGCTGGAGTTGGTGGTCAAGGTGCAGTCCTGGCACCACAGGCCATGAGCTGGGCAGGGAATGGGATGGGAATGACCAGAGGAACTGGCCAGGCCCTGCATCCCCTCAGTCCCTACCTGCTGCGGGGATCCTGGCAGAACCACGCCCAGAGGAGGTAACAGGAGCAGGGCAGCCTGACTCCTGCACTTTCCTCTGCGCCTTGAGCACACCCCCAGAGTGGACGGGTTCCAAGCTATGAAGGGCGGGCCAGACCTAGTGGGAGGCCCGGCAGGGCTGGCAGTGATGGAACAAGGAGCGTCCATGCTGGACCAAGAGCCTGAGGAAAGGTGCTTAGGGCCTCAGGTGCCCAGAGAGACATGCATGGCCAGAACAGAGCTGGCAAGGACTGAGCTAGGGTCGCAGGTCCTGGAGGGATCATGAGCTTTATGGAGCCGAGAGAGGATGGCTCCCCAGAGCAAGGCCCTCTCCCCGCACCCCGCCCCCACTCACCCGGTGTGGGGCACAGCAGCAGGGCGAGTATCACCAAGCCGAGACCCCTCATGGCTGCAGGCAGCATGCTCTGGGCGAGCCTGGGGGAGACACGGGGCGCGGCGGGCGGGGATCCTCTGGGGGTCAGGCCTGGTGGAGAGAAGTCCTGGTCAGGAGACCCAGTCCTCGGCAGAACCCAAAGACCCTCCCCTTTTCTGGCCTCAGGACGACCTCCTCCTTAGAATCGGAAGGCCAGGTCAGCCAGGAGCGGGCAGAGCCCCACCCCGACCCATCCCCCCGAGCGTCCACCATCACAGCCTCCCCAAGGGGAGAAAAAGGTCTTCCCTCTCGCCCCGGCTGTCAGCTCCGGCGAGCTATCAGCCGGGCTGCCCCCATCCCCATCCCTCGCCCAGCACCTGCGGGGGTCGGGGTTGTCTTGTCCTTCCTGGGAAGCGGTAGGTGAGTCCAGACTGGAACGTAGGAGGAAGAGGGAGAGGACTGCACCTGCTGCGGGGAGAGGGTGCGCGCCGTATCCCCACCCACACACACCCCACCCAACCCT